TGAATATTACATCCTAAATCATTTGCATGCGAGCGAAATAAAGAAAATGCACCGAAAATGCAAAGGTATTTTTCTTCACTTCTCTATCTACTGAAGAAACCGAAATAAATACTGAAAAATCATGTTTGAAAAATCATTCTAACCCCTTACATTTTTGCTACTAAAAAGTGAGCAAAATTCTTCAGAAATGACACAAAAATATACATACAATACAAAACTACAAAAAATCAATACATACAATACAAAAATACAAAAAATCAATAAATACAAATATCAATAATACAATACAAAAATACAAAAAATACAAAAATACAAAAGATACAAAAATACAAAAAAAATATATATACAACAAATACAAAAACACAAAAACTACAAAAATACAAAAAATACAAAAAATCGTTACAAAAATATACATAAAATTCCTAATCTCCCATTGTTAATCCTAAAAGATTCGAATATTAAGGGAGAGTTTTCGCATCACGACAACTGCATTATCCAGTGCATCAGACGCAAGATAACAGCGTTCAAATGTTTAAAATTAACAAAAAAAAGTAAATTAATTAGTCGGGTTTCCAACATAGAGCGCGCCTGGAATTAGACCACGGGCTATCAAGGCCCATCACACTATTATAATAATAATGTTCATAATAATAATATCATTATGTATAATGACATGGATAATAACAATTACTGTTATTATTATCGCTATTATTATTATTATCATTATCATTACTATCATTATTGATATCATTATTATTTTGTTTGACTTGTTTGATTAGATTTTAAAATCAATGTAAGGTTGGTGCCCGTTGTCTCTAAATTACTTATATTTTTTTCTTCACTCTACACTCTCACTTTTTGCAATGCAGGGTCAGTAATGGTATTTCAAAGTAATTTAATCTCTTTGCCGCTATTTTCACACAATAATCTTCACAATCCGCTTCATAACTAACCCTTTTATGTGATGAATCGACCTGTACCTCACTCCTCTCTTCTCTTCTCTTCTCTTCTCTTTATTTATTTATTTTTTCTCTATTTCTTCTCTTCTGTTTTCTTCTCTTCTCTCTCTTTTTATTTATTTTTTTTCTCTTTCTTGTTTTCTCTTTCTTTCCTTTCCTTTCCTTTCCTTTCCTTTCCTTTCCTTTCCTTTCCTTTCCTTTCCTCTCTTCTCTCTCTTCTCTTCTCTTCTCTTCTCTTCTCTTCTCTTTTCTCTTCTCTCTCTTCTCTTCTCTTCTCTTCTCTTCTCTCTCTTCTCTCCATCCCGTCCCGTCCCGTCCCGTCCCGTCCCGTCCGTCCCGTCCCGTCCCGTCCCGTCCCGTCCCGTTCCCGTCCTTCCGTCCCCCGTCCCGTCCGTCCCGTCCGTCCCGTCCCGTCCCGTCCCGTTCCCGTCCCGTCCCGTCCCGTCCCGTCCCGTCCCGTCCCGTCCCGTCCGTCCCGTCCCCGTCCCGTCCCGTCCGTCCCGTCCCGTCCCGTCCCGTCCCCGTCCCGTCCCGCCTCCGTCCCCCGTCCCGTCCCCGTCCCGTCCCGTCCGTCCCGTCCCCCGTCCGTCCCGTCCCGTCCCGTCCCGTCCCGTCCCGTCCCGTCCGATCCCGTCCCGTCCCGTCCCGTCCCGTCCCGTCGTCCCGTCCCGTTCCCGTCCCGTCCCGTCCCGTCCCGTCCCCGTCCCGTCCCCGCGTCCCCGTCCCGTCCCGTCCCGTCCCGTCCCGTCCCGTCCCGTCCGTCCCGTCCCGTCCCGTCCGTCCCGTCCCGTCCCGTCCCGTCCCGTCCCGTCCCGTCCCCGTTCCGTCTTGTCCGTCTTGTCTCGTCTTGTCGTCTTTTTTGGTTTTTTCTTCTGTTCTCTTCTTCTTCTCCTTTTCTTTTCTCTTCTCTCCTCTCCAACTTCCCACCCCTTCCTTCACTTCCTCTCACTCTCTCTCCCCCATCTCCCTCCCTTCCTCTCTCTCTCCTTCTCACTCACCATCTATGTTTGTTGTTTACTTCCTGTTCGAATGAGCTTGCAGATTGCACATTCAACCTTATTCTCAACCACGCAACATCCGCCGAGCAACCTCATCACACTGATATTGCTTGGAAAGTCGAACCACAACAATCTTTAAACGACTGTTTCTTTATTTGACTTTTATAACTCTCAAATCTAAAATTCTTCCATAAGTGTCCGTCTTTTTCATTTATTTTAGGGAGGGGGGGTGGGGGGTGGGGGGCAGCTAAGGGAATTATAATTTTTTAAGTCATATTTCGATTAATTTCCTTGTGTTTTTTTGTATTATTTTCTCACTTTCAAGTATTTTAGATTAGAAAGCGTAATAGACAATATCTCAAAAAATCGCATATAAACAATTCAACAAATACTTTTCTCGAGTTTTAAAAGTTTGGTCTGGCTTGAATTTCATCTTTTCTATTCGTACCTATTTTTAGATTTGTCTTATCTATTCACTTGTAAAGCAAAGCAAAATCAGAAGAAAAAATCCGTCTCAGCTGCTGACAAAACATTTTTTTTCTA